AAGATTGACGGACTGTACGATCGCAAAATGCACAAGAAATAGCACTTGGGAACTACATCACATTGCCCAAGGTAGGATGCCGCAACGAGAGATCACAAATAATGACTATCGTGCCCAACGTGTCTAGAGGGAACAGCACAACTTATCACTGTCGGAGCCAGAACTTGAAATGGGCTCGGGACTTTTGATTTTTTCGCAATGGCCTTACGGCCGCTGATCACATCAACAACTTGGGTTCCCAGGAATTGATACTTCCCAATTTGGCATCTTCCCGAAAGAGATCCTCCCATAGTAGCTGGTCCTGTGGACTCCACGAGACATTGTTGTTGTTGTGTTTCATGGGTTGTTTCACGATAGTTCGCGAGGGAAGTGCACCACCACAAGATTCTGTACCATTACCCCAATTGGAATACAATAAATGTTCTAGCATTTGTGCGGCAAAGGTAGCCCCGGAACAGGACGGATGAAGTCCATCATCGGATACCAATCGATGACTTTCCTTGCTGCGAAATCGAGAAGTCCAGGGAATGGCGGCACCGACATTGACCACGGCAATGTCAAACCCCAATCCTTGGAGGTGACTGAATAGGGGACCCAAGTAGTCCATTTGATTGGAATCCAAAGTGGGCCCGTGTGTTTTGCGTGACCACCACGTGCGACGCCACCAACGCAGCACAATAATGGGCGGAGGAGGTTTTCCGGCTTGACCATAGAGCGCCTTGAGCCTTGTGAACCAGAATTCGAGTCTTCGAAGTTCTTCCGCCTCGCCTCCAAAATTGTGTTTGGTTAGGATTTGATCATCTGGAAATGATTGATTCGATATGAATCATGACCCACAAAAAGAGTATGGTCAAGCAAAGCACATGTTAGAATATCAGGAACAAGTTCTCCACAAAATACATAATAACAAAAGATTTCCTACCATCTGGTCCATGATCCCAAATGACTACATCTGTTTCGTTTGGTAGCAGCAGAGTATCCATATGCATGGCACTGTACAGAGAGTTGGTAGATCCTTGTGCCAAGTTTTGGAAATTGATTCGAAAGGCTGACTCTTCTTGTTGGAGTTTGTTTTCTTGGGCTCTCACTAGCTGCTGGAGGATGTTGCTATATCGTCCTTCCACAGGATTTCCCACATTGTACTTGTCACAATTGTACGCCGCCCGGGCGCTCGTGGAGCCTCCCAAAATGGCCACATTCAACTCGGATGTTGTGGTCTTCTTTGCCTGTAGGATTCCGTCCAATAGACAGGGCGGCCATTGCCATTGTGATGGAAACCCATTGGCCAACACAAATTCCCGTTGGGAAAGTTCTGTCGTCAAAAGACCCTGATCCACTGTGTGTTGCAATATTGTGTTGGCTTGCCGTTGGAAACCGGATGCTTGGGATGGATGTGTATTACTGCCACTACTACTACTGGTGTTGTTGTCCGAGCCAAACAACCAACGGGAATTCACAAGGACCCCCAGCAACACGAAAAGTATCACATAGAACCCAATTACTGCCTGACGATTCGGCAACAGTTGCTGATCATGATGCTCCTTCTTGGATACAGTCACCATCTTACATACATGTACTTTGCTAGCTAGGTGTTTCTTTGGGTGCTTCTTTGGTTTGATGAAGCCGAGAAGCTGATGGGGAGATTTAGGGGGGGTCAGGCACCAGCGCGGGGGAGGGAAAGAAGAAAAAAAAGGGAGAGGGTTAACCGTTGAGATTCCGAATTCTGAATTCGAAGAGCAGGCCGACGCATACACGATCCGTTTGGATGACCAATTACATGAAATTACTTAGACACGAGAGGGGCGATGGCAATGACCGATATATTCCTTTAAACAGAAGGGTCATCTCCCCATAGGACATGTCTGAAGAACACGATATATGTCAGCAAATACGTCAACGGTGGAGGTTCGTTGATGTCTCACACCCAAATTCAAATTGATGCAACGGATGCATGGCTGACTGGCTCTTTGGTTCTTTCCTGATCCTTTGCTCGCACGAAACCCTCCCATAAATTCAAATCCCTCTTGGCAACAACAACAACAGCTAGCATTATCCTACCGACGTCTTCCTCTACCGATACCGACGACCTGCCTCTACCGATACCACTACCGACCGACGACCGACGACCGGCTACCACTACTGCTGCGCTATTTTGCCTTGAAGTCAGTGCCTACTTCGGTAGGGGCAAGACTCTTGGCAACAACAGCTCACGAAACTCGCCACTACGCGAAACTCGCCAATTCAGGTTGAAACAACAACACGACAACTCGACCATGAGGATCGCAACTACGTCTTCCTTCTCGAAGTGGCTGCTTAGTGTAAACAGATACCCATTGAATGAGCTGAGGGCCACAAGGAATGGATTCACTTGCAAGTACATCATTGTGGAAGAACAAGAGCCCCACCTCACCAACTACCAGAAGTTTCATTGTTGGCCCACAAATGAAGTGCCGGATCTTGAGGAGTTGATATACCAAGGAGGATGCAAGCCTCTTCCTCCTGACATGACAGGCATCATGGATTACATGTTTGAGTGGGGTCTTCAGAAGAGCCCAAAATGGTACAGTACTGTTCTCTCCACCCTTTCTGGAATGCTGGAGGGGCCAGAATCATGTGAAAGGAAGGACATCTTCATTGAGTGTATCTATTGGTTAATGAGGGAAATGATTACCAAGAGCTATGACTTCTACTCCAATGAAGGACAGATTGTGATGGATGCTTGGCATGGGTATTGTTCGCACTGGTATGACCACAACAACCAAATCTCCTTCAAGATATTGACTTTGATGAGTGAGACTTTTGTTGATGATTGCATTGAAGACATTCACAACCTTGGATTCTTGCAACCCCACCATGCTGTACATTGTGGAACTCTAATGTAAGTTAATGGCAACAATAGAAATGAATTTGAAGCATCTAAATATTTATTGATATCCATTTAATCGAGTCCGGCAGGTGCCATCATGAGGTGGTCTTCCTCTCCTATGAGTCAACCAGTGGCAGTATCGCTGACAGCAGCCATTTGGTGGTGGTGGCTGGAAAGGAGATGGCTGTATAGGTAGGAATTGCCGCATTTGCATGGCGAGTTGCATCATTTGAATCTGTTGTTGTTGCTGGTATAGAATCAAATTACAAACATAAGCATTTCTTGTTTGTGGCACTGCAGGTGGTGGAGGTGGTGGTGGTGGTGGTGGCGGCGGTGGAACCATTGCTGGTGGAGGTGGTGGATCGATTGCTGGTGGACTTGGTGGCTGGATTGCTGGTGGACTCGGTGGTGCTCCAGTGCAAGCTGCACAAAGACAACAATCATTGGGTGCGTACTTTTGTCTCTGTGGTTTGAATCCAACAATAAACTCTGAAAAGAACCTCTCTCCATTATCCTGTGGCAAGGGCTCTGCATTAGGAAATGGTTCATTGAGACCCACAGCCACTGCTAGCTCATTCAGGTAAGCCAACTCTGAGTGGTTCCAGTATGGAACAACCTTTTCCCATCCTGCTGGAATTGACCTCCTTTCTGCCAAACTGATTCTTGACAGGAAGGCTCTCTTGTGTCTAATCTTGAGGTTGTATCTAGCAGTGCCAGCTAGGTTGAGTGCATCAGCAAGGCTCCTCCTCATTCCACCATTGCCAAAGTGGGCAAACTTGTCATGGAAAGCCTCTAACTTGGACTCTCCTCTCCTTGATAGGTACTCTGGAAGATTGTGCTTGGAGTTTGGAGAAGGTAGGATGGTGTCATACATGTCTTCCAAAGGCAGTGGATCAGCCAAGTGAATGGCTTTGTCAACACAGTTGTCTACTGCTGGTTTGGTATCAGAAGTGAACAAGGTAAAGTTCTTGACTGGATCCAGTCGACCCTGTCCCGGCTGGCTACCATCACTGGCAGTCACCTTGTATCTGCAGAACCACTGCTGCA